AGGTGTCATGTGAGGAAAAAGACACATAGGTAAAGGGAGTTTGGAAAATGTTGCATTAGAAAAAGTTAAACTAGATCTTTACTCCAGGACTTCTCAGTGGCTTTCCCCTGCTCATGTATATGGTGAGCATGAAATAAGGTTATTAGTTTCCTAGGGCTGCTGTAACAAATGGCCAAAAACTGGGTAGAAAATTAAAATCTCATAGTTCTGGAGGCTAGAAGCCTGAAATCAACGTGCTGGCAGGGCCACGTCCCCTCCAGAGCTCTGGCAGGAGAGTCTTCCTGGCCTCTTCTAACTTCCGGCGCTGCTGGCAATCCTTGGCCTTTCTGGGCTGTGGATGCATCACTACAATCACATGGCCATTTTCTCTCCTTGGCCTTTCTGGGCTGTAGATGCATCACTACAATCACATGGCCGTTTTCTCTCCGTGGGTTTACATACCATTTTCCCCTCTGTGTGAGTCTGTCTCTGTGTCCAAATTTTCCCTGTTTATAAGGACATACTGTTTGTCATATTGGATTAAGGTTCATTCCAGTGATAGCATTTAAATTTGATAATCTCCGTGAGGTCACATTCTGAGGTACTTAGAGTTAGGACTTCGGTATATCTATTTTGGAGGAGACACGATTTAACCCACAACAGTGTGACAGTATTAAATTACCCCACCAGTTCCCTCACTTCAGAGAGCATGTCCTCATAGCAGTAGTATTTCCTGGAACTCATTTTGGAATATACTAGAGGACATGGATGGCATTCAGAAGCTCAAACAAAGGAATGCATAGGTTCTTTCCCCCATGCAAATTTGGTCTTGTTCAGTGGTATCCTGCGGAGAAATGAATAAGCCTCGAAAAAGTCATTACTGGTTATAAAGACTACATACAGGAGTAAACATGCTTCACCCTATATAGTTTTTAAAAAACTAGGGAAAAGATCTTTAAGAGAGGAAGAGGTCCATATTTACTGTTGTCATTGTTTTGTCATTAAATGGCCATTTTCCACATGAGTAAAGTCCTGCTAATATTGGGTTTAACTATTGAAGGAATTAACAATTACAGACTTGCCTGACTGAGAAAGCTTATACGGGGCAATGAAAAGTAATTTAAAACAAAAACATCTTAGGTTGCTCTGATTAGAAGTGAATCATACCTATATCACAATGCTTTCCTTCTATTTTTGTATTTTATTATACCTCATATGGTAGATGGGATCACATTTTCTCAACTCATCACTTCCTCTCCTTATTAGATCATATGTTCTAACCCATGTTATGGCCTCACAGGTGGAGTGTACTTCCGAGCCCCTTGACTTTGGCTTGGCCATAGTTCGCTTTGTCCAATGGGATGTCAGTGGACATGACACACACAGGGACTTAAACTGTGCTGTATGCTTGGGCTTGCGCTGTTGCCTAGCATTTTTGTTTGAGAGCACACCTTGGGTAGCTGTTCATGGAAGGAGGATGAGAGACACGTGGAACAGACATGAAACGCACCTGCAGCTCAGAGCCAAGCTCAGCAGCACCCAGCCTGAGTCAGCTGGACCCTACTCCACCCACCTATGCAGGAACAATAGAGAGATGCTTCCAGGTCTGTGCTCCTGGGACTCTGACCAGTAACACAGCATTACTTTAAAAAACAATGACTGATACACTTTGTTTAGGTTTGTCTCCTTCACTACTCTGTGAGCTTCCTAAAAGTAATGACCGTATTTTGTATAATTCTGTATTTTCTCAGCTTAGTTCTTATATATCATAGCCTCAGAAATGTTTGATGGGTAGACGGTGGACATACTAGGGTGTCTGAGTGGGATTTGGGGCATGGTTACTGTGGCCACCAGGTGGATGATTTAGGAATAACACTGGAGTACTGCTTTGGTTCTGGAGAAAGGTGATACACATTCTCAAGGTAAAAGTAAGAGTTATGCCTATTCTAGGCCATCACACCTGGTCCTACACAAACCCTCTGATCTGTCTCTGCATTAACTGGATGGAAAGTCTGAGGTTACTTTTCCATGTCGTTCCAGATGGTGATCTCTTGTAGCAACAGCAAATTGGACATACCTTCTGAGTCCACTTCCAAGGGCAACTGCAGAAATTTTCTTCTAATTAGTTGCTTCCTGGTTATGATGCTAACTTCTGCTGTTAATGATTAACATGTAACATTTGTTTTATAGAATTGCCATTATGTATCATGGATCCTTTATAAATAGCTATGGTTGTAACAGCATACATGAATACTTTCTAAGGTCAGTGTAGGCCATCTGAAGTGCTCCTGAAAGATGTAAAGATTCTGAAATTTGTAAGAATTTAACGTTCAAAATGTCTGCTTTCTTGTGGCAGGCAGTGTTACCTGCCTAAGAGTTTGCGCTCCTGTGTGTGGTGTGTGCGCTTGTGTTATCTTACTTTCCTCTGTACTATGTGGGATGCTGAGTCGATATGAAAGCAGCTGACAGAATAGATAAGGATGATTACAGCAAAGAATTTAATCGATGATCACTTTTATCTCTGCAACACACATTATGCCTTTAAAAATTATTTGCACAGATGTTCATTCTTAGCTAGTCTCAGAGTAAATAAGGGCAAACTGCATGAAGGGTCAGAAAAACACAAGAAGAAGTAGCAATTCTGAATGTTAAAAAAAAAAGTGCTGTGGACAAGACTGAGTCCTGAGTCCTTCCAGGATGATAGGACATCTCAAGATCAGCATGTGCCATGGTAATGTAACCTATCACATCAATTCTGCATGTGTATGTATCGCATCTCTTAGAAGAAATTTCAGGCGGAAGCCAAGCACATCATTGATACAACAGGAAAATAATGTCTCTGATGAGGAATAAATTGCATTAATTTAATACTAAAATGCTTAATGCTTTAAGAAACTAAATCTGTAATGACAAATCCTTCATAAAAGATTTATTCCAGTCTGTACATATTAGTGATTTCAAACATGTTAGGAAGTGAAGGATTTCGTTTATTCTAGGAGGCATTATGTTCAAAGAATCTGAAATAGTTATTGAAAGCCATGAGAGGACAGCTTAAAAGATAATACTGTTTTTAAAAGACTTAAATTAGCTAGCTGAGACAACAAATATTTTCCCTACACAGAATAAAATGAACGGTTACAGTGTCTAAGGAACAGGTGGGTCCCTAGGGCAAAGACAGGGCCCAGGTTTGGGTGAGGGATCAGGCTGGCTAAAGAGCATTCTGTCTTCACCGTGAGATTTTTACAGACCAGTGTACTTATTTCAGGGATCCCTAAAATGGAATTCTCATATTTATGGGAGAAGTCTGTCAATTAGGAAGTGAGAAATTGGGGTATGCAAGTAACAAGTATGCCAATCTGTGTGTGTATGTGTGTGTGTGTGTGTGTGTGTGTGTGTGTGTGTCTTCCAGGCAGCATGAATATACACAACACACCGGAATTTTTGAGCGAGTGATGTAGAGTCGGCTTGATACTCTGTAGAGATGTATGTTTTCCTGTCCTCCTACAGTATGCATGACTATTTAAAAAGTTTTAGTTAGCCTTCAATGGGCCAAGAGTTACCTAGACCTAAGGAAGCACTTTAAAGAAAGTGTGCGCAGACTGGACGGGCCTGGTGTTCAAAGAGAGAAATCAACCCAAGAGGAAGGTGATTCTTAGGGAAAGATAATCCTTCCGTTCAAGGATTTTCCTTTTAATACTAAACATCAGAAGTGTGTGTGTGTGTGTGTCTGTGTTGTGTTTAAGCAACACTGCCAATTTCCTACAGGGTACAATGTACTTTCAGGGATTCATTTAAATGAATGAACTACCATCTCTAACTAAATAATTCCTTATAAAATTAAAAAAATATGTGTTTTTAAAAACACATATAGCCCTTTGTATGAAGTCAGGATTATTAAGCAAAATGCTCTAAGAGAAGTATTTATGGCACTGGATGTTATAATTTCTGTAAAGCATATGTAGGAATTATTTTTTGATTTCTTTGTTTTTGTTTGTCTTAAAAAAACATGTGCTTCTAAAAATAATTGAACTAAGTAAAAGAGCGAGTCTTTATTTTATATTATCTCACTTAACCATCATGGCAGCACCCTGAGACAGTATTAGTTTTCACGTATTAGGGAACAAATTGGAAGAGAGTGAGTAACTTGTCCGAGCTAATTACGGGGAGTAGCCTACATTCAAACTATGGCCTGAGAAGGCTCTTTGACAGGCTACCTGACTGCACTTCTTCTGTGGCTCTGGCATTTAATTCTGTGTTCATCCAATCCTAAAAAATGTACCTGAAAAAATATCCCTTTATGTTCTAGGCAAATTACTTCAACACTATTATCAAATTAAAATAAAAATTAGGGTACCTCAAAGGAGCGCATCACCCATTTGGATGGTGACCATATGCAAGGCCCAGGTTGAAAGCATACAGTTCACACCAGCATGCTCGCCTACAATTCACACCAGCACGCTTCCACCCACAGCCTAATTTATTCGCTTTCTTTTTATTTCCTTTAGGTAGTACTTGACAAACGTTCACCAGTAGGTTTTTTGGTTTTTTATTTTTTTCCTTAACCTGAGAGTGAGCATGTACTTTAAGCAGCGTGATTACAGATGTTCTGTAGTTAGCAGAGCTCTCAGAAAACCCATCAGAGAGATGCATCCAAGAGCGTGGGAGGAATCAGAACATGGCCAGAAAGCTGGAAAAGGGCCACGGAAACACCTTTGTGACTTTCTGAAAACTATGGACCCAGGCAATATTTGGTGCCCATATATAAGCATAATCAGTTAGTGTGAGGAAAACTTGTTTTTCTCAGATGCAAACAAAAAAAATAGTAGTTTAGTGGGCTCTGAGGCAGTGGTGGTGGCTAGGACCTTAGGAGTCGTGACAAGATCACAATCGCTCCGTCCACAATCAGCAGCAGAAGTCAGCCACACAAAGGAATGGACTGCGGCGGTTCTGAGGTCCTTTCCAACTTCGAGGTTCTACAGCCCGGGGCGCACTTTACAATGAAGCAAGCAGCTCACGCTCACCGTTCTGCTCCCGCTGCACCCCGGCCGCCAAGAGATCCGGCTCCCCAAGGCTGATGTCGTTCAGCCTGGTCCCCAGACACTCCACGCAGAGGTGCTTGCACCACTCCTCGGCCTCCAGCTCTGAAAACAAACACAGGTCACCGAAATCAGGCGACACGGCATGAGAACCAAGGGAGGGGATTCTTCCCGAACCCTTTTCCCAGGTCAGTGGGCAGAGTGAAAAATCCACCATAAGACAGCAAAAAAAGCTGTATTTAAATGAAAAAATAATAATCCCCACGATTATTTCCCATGGCTTGACGTTGCAATGCTTTATTTTAAAGTGATTTTAAGTTATTCCAAACTACTTGATCTCTTTTACAAATACCCTGAGAGTATTTGTTTCCTGACTAGCATATTCTAGACAGACTTAAATTTTGGAGGTATATTACTGAGAAAAAAAACAGTTAAACATAAAATTAAAATATGTTAATGAATAGTTGAAAACCGTCAGACTAGAATAAACCAGTCAATGGTTTCCTGAATGTGATTTAGATCTGGGTGGGTTGAAGGTCTGATACTCAAGTCATTCTGAATTGCATTTTTCTTTCATAGGAATCAAAAATGAGCTATCCTTACTTAAAAAAATTGAGGATAGGATATTTAAAGTAACTTTCCCCTTTAGAAAACTCCAATTACCTAAGATATTGATTAGATCACTCTTTTTACTCAGATTATCTCTCACTTCTTTATATTCCCAGGTGTTTTCTTTGCATGAAACATTAGAATATCTTACATCTCACAGACTTGTAGTATCTAATGCTTTCAGAAACATAAATGCATCTGATTCTAACCTAAGCCCTGTGTGGCTGAGGGGGCTAAGGGTTAGTGTCATACCTGGGCCCCTTATTGTATCATTGTTCAGCACCAAGAAAGAATTAGAACCCAGATCTTCTAGGTATTTTAATATACAGAGATCTGAAAAAGTATGAGGTTGAAAATTTGAGGCCAAGCCCCAAACTGTTGTACAGAAAATGGTTAAGAACTCTCTCCTGATACTTGTCCAGAGAAATTTCTGGCTTCTTCACATAGCATAAATCTGAACTAGAACAGCTTAATAAAGATTTCCTTCAAATTCTCGTTACTCTCCATGGATGACATTTCAACCTCTGTCTCAGCATTTTAAACTCCCCATAAGAAGTTTTCTGTGACAGGTTTGCATGACTCAAGGGATTTGAATATCAACTGCTCTGCTCCACCATCAACACCATCAAACCTGGGTAATGTTTTCTTCCTGTGCTGAGTCACATCACTTTAGCATCAAAAATAGGTTTGATCAATGAGATGTCAAGACAAATTTGTCATTTATTTTTAGTTTTATTGAAACCATAAAATATTGTTAGAAAATAAAGAGAAAGAGCACGCAGTCCCTGCCCATCCTGTGCCATGCTATTCTAATGAAAATTGTAGTTTCCATATATCCAATCATGAAAGGCATTTTCTTTACAAAAGGTATGGTTTGCATATTTCAGGGTTATCTTCTTGGTAATGAGAGACATTCCACTTAGTTGGGTCAAGGAGAAAGTGGGTTCTCACATGAGCCTGGCCCCACACTCAGGTGAAGTCAGAAGCTGGGGCTGGCTGATGGGGCATTTCTTTAGGAACCTAGAAAATGATCCTTCCCAGTCACAAGGCTCCTAATAGAAGCCACTTGCTGAGGCTCACAGCTTTCCAAAGAATATTTTTTTCTTCTATTGCAGGAATATCAGCCTTCACAGGAAAATTTAACAGGAGCAACAATAGCATATATTGAAAATAATTTTCATCAGATACATGAGCTTTGATATGTAAAATTTATAAAAGTTTTTAAAGCTTTTCTAACAAAAAAATCAAAACCTTAAACTGAGCCTCTAGAAATCCTCGACATTCTGCTAAGGGAGATGATATAACTATAAATTTTCTTTTTACATTTTAATGTTTTGAGTATTTCTCAGGACTCCACAATTTAAAAATCACCAGTAAATTCATGTGCAATTTATATCTCGTCTGCATGACTCTGCCTGATGGTATTACCAGTATTCTGTAGATGGAGATGAAATATCTCATATACTCTTTGGGGTAAAAATTAAAATGTTAAATATGACAAAGCACCTTTGTGCCAATGTTCCCTTTAAATACTAAGTCAGTGCATGCCCAGAGGTTAAAGACATATGTCACTCCCTCCCTCTACTGACTCTTCTGTCACAGGATGTAATGATACAAAGAAAGCAAGCACACAGTGAAGGGCTTCTGGGATGTCAGGGCCAGCCCCTTCACGGGGAACTCCATGTGGCATTCTGGGCAAGTGTCCCACCACCGTTAAGAAAGGTGCTCATGGGCTTCCACCAGCAGGTGAAGACGTCCTTTGCAACCAGTCTTATGCTCATAATGCCGTAGCACATCTGAATAGAAATAGCAAGAGTAATAAAAATAGAGCTGAAAAAGTCACATTAATGACTGAACTGTAAACTATTTCAGAAAGAAAGAGACAAGAGGGAGGAGAAAGAGACGGAGACACCAAGAAACACATCTGTACAAAGCAGATCTCACTAGGGTTGGTTTCTTTTTCAAGAAACACTCACTGTGCACTCACTGTAAGCCAGACACCATGCTAGTGGGGGTCTGTGGAGAAGACCGTTTCTGTTCCCAATAATCTTAGGGTCTGGTGGGTGGGCAGGTGCATCTGGAGGCAGCTGGCTTGGCCTGCAGGAACTGGGAGCTCTGGCAAAGGGTGAGCACCATAGAAGGGACCCACCAGGCCGGCAGAGCAGGCAGGTGGAAGGCTGCGGGTGGGGGTGGGGGTGTTTGAGTGTGAGCGTGTGAGTGTGTATCTGTGTATGTGTCTATGTGCATGTGGAATGTGTATCAGTGTGAATATGTGTGCATCTGTATGTGTATGTGTCTGCATGTGTGTGACAGAATGCGTTTGCTAGTGTGTTTTGTGTGTCACTGTGTGTCAATGCGTTTCAGTGTGTGTATGAGTGAGAGGCTGTCTACGTGTGAGTGCGTGTGTGTCGGAGGAACCGGCTGGGCTTAGAGGGGCCGAGGCAGAAGGGAACCTCTAGGGCAGTGAGGGTGACATCCTGGGAACGGCTCCGCATTCATGTAGTGAAATTGGAGAGGCGGGCAGACATGCCCGTGGTTTTCGTGGTTGTGTAGGATTTAGTTCGATTAGATCAGCCCCAAAGCTTCATCTCAAAAGTATTAGCCTCTGTAGCCTGCATGCTCCATCTAACCATTCTGCTGCAGATGAAGTGAATTTGTTTGAGTATTGCACTAGCTTTGGTTTTTTAAAATCTATTTTTGATAGTCGCCTTTCAAAAAATTATAGCCGTGCTTTACATTTGTTCTTTCTTAGGCAAACTCGGCTAAGTCCCTTCCGGTACCAAACTCTGAATATTGAAGTCCTTTAATCTTTTATTGCGTGTTAATTTATTTTGTTTCTTTATTACTTAACTAGCATTTTTCTCTGAACTACATTTCATCTTTCACCTTTCCATATTGTATTTTTGCAGAACTATGGAGATTAAACACAAATGCTATATTCTGAATCCACTGTATTTTTAAATATTTATCTTCCCATAAGCTCTGTGCCTTTTGTCTTTTATCTTTCAAACTTCTACTACACATGGTGTGTAAATAATTAAATTTCTTTATGGAGGATTAAAGGCATAAAAATGCTCTGCAGTGTGTTCTGGTTTTCCGTTCATGGTGGAAGTGCTTGTTCGTGAAGATGTCTTTTCCAGAGGGCATGCAGCTATGCTCAAATTCAGTTCAGGCAAATCACTTTTTTTCTAGAACAGGAACCCAAATACAGTTTTCATTATGTGTAGGATTAGTTAAATGAAGAAATTAGGTAATTTCTAAAAGAGAAACTCAAAGATGTTTGGGAATAATTGAATAAAGGGGGAAGAGAGACTAAACTAAATGAGTGACTTATGAGACAAATGGAAGGGAGAAGGATGTGCAGCCATAGTGCAAAACAGAAATACAGTCAGAGGTGGGCGGCTCTGCTCTGAGCTCCTTTCCATCCCTTTTTAAAGGAATTGTAGGGAGAGGATGGCTATATTCCTTTGCATCAGAAGAAGTCTTTACCTAGTGGGCCCTTAATAAATGCTTGCTAAATAAATGATTAGAGCTTTATTACTTTCACTAAATTTCAGCCATAAGATAATGACATGAAAGTTAAATGGTCCAAAATGAGCTCTGTTTGAAAACAGTGAAATAGGCTATCAGCCCAAATCATATAAAAGCAGCACTTAATCGATTCTGTATTAATGGATTGTAAGATGCAGGCATGACTAGTTTTGTGTGGCAATAAGAAATTATTGTATTTAGTCCTCACTGGATTTAGCTTTTATTAACAACCTTAGGAATATTTGGGCAAAATAATCCTGTTTCATCTGCAGCAACCCTTGCACTTCTTAAGTATACCTAATCCTTATCTTCTATGCAGATTTGCTATGATTTGGCAATAAATGTTGTTTTTATGTGTATTAGAGTTTTCTTAAATACATGCTTTGCTGCAAAGTTAAGAAAAGTATACCTCCACGCATGCTATTGCTCAAAGAATGCGCAGATCTCTCCTATTGTCATTTGGAATTTATAGACGCAGTGATGACTTCCATTCTCAGAAACTGGCACATACTTGCTGCTTAACTGGCCTTGTGGTTGTTTTATAGACTTTTCTTTTTCTGTTACTTTTTCGGTAGTAGGAAGACAAGAAATCCTTAGTCCCAAATCACTTGCTTCAGCAAAGATGGAAGGAGTGTGTCTCTGATTAGCTTACAGGGAGGGGCCTTCCCTGTTGAAGTAGGGTTGGTAGGACTGGTCAGTTTCCAGGTGGAGGACATTCAGTTTTCTTCTCCAAGGGGGGAGACCATCTATTTACTTTCCCTTTCACAGTCCCTCACCCTTTCTAATCCTTTCAAACTGGTTCAAATATGACATTCGTAGCTTAGCCTTTCGACCCATGTCTCTGTATTCCTCCAAGACTCTGTGCATACTTTTATCATAGTGCCTGTATATCATCAAGTTGTTTGTCTGTCCTTCGCAACCAATATATTTAAGATAGAAGGGCACAGGAGATACGGTTCAGTCTC